CACACACACAACACAACACACACACACACACACACACACACACACACACACACACACACACACACACACACACACACACACACACACACACACACACACACACACACACACACACACACACACACACACACACACACACACACACACACACTCACACCCTCACACACACACACACACACACACACACACACACACACACACACACACACACACACACACACACACACACACACACACACACACACACACACACACACACACACACACACACACACACACACACACACACACACACACACACACACACACACACACACACGCTGGCTGAACCAAGTTGGACTTGGTGCCCCCGGCTTGCGCAGAACCCAATGCGCGACTCGTTCGAGTCACGGGTGAGGTCTCAGACCAACTCCTCAGCCAAGCGGACGCTCCCATGCAGTTCCGTTTTTTTGCGGCCCGGGGCTCAAAGGCTCAAAGGCTCAAAGGCTCAAAGGTTGAAAGGCTCAAAGGCTCAAAGGCTCAAAGGCTGAAGGGGCCAAAGCTTAGAGCCAGGCTGAGGAACGAGAGCATGGAAGACCCAGATAGAATGAGCCAGGGCTGTTCAAATGCCCAACATTGGGCCAAAGCACGGCCGCTTCTTCGTGGTTTTTGATATCAGCTCATGCCCCTTGCCATTGCCACTGCTCTTACGGCAGGATCCGTTTTTCTTTGGCTCTCATCTTGGCACCTATCCTGTCCCGAGGCGCAGACGATGCGCACCAAAGTCCAGTTCGACTTCTATGAATTGCCCGCTGACGCTGGGCGGGTTGGTGACATGTTGCCCCCCAAACTGAAAACAACAGAAGGAACATATTGGCACCGGGCACAACTTGTTTCACGCATTTCCTGGACACCAATTTCTTGGGAGCCGCACCTCTTGGGAGCAGCCGGTTTTCAGCCTCGAGGCAAAGACGTCTAGCGAGACTCGGGTTGAGCGATCGGTTCTCCTAGGATAGCTACACGAGTCTTCGGGACTCCATGCTGACTCACATCAACAGGCCGAGAAGCTGAGGAATCTGCGATAGTTCCAGACGCATCCGAGTTTTAGCAACACGCTAACGGGGAGAGGTCGAGCTGGATTTCCGCTTTGTTCTTTTCGGAGGGGGTGGAGTTGAGACATTCAGATCTATTGCAGCTGGGCCTCAAATGTATACCTGGGTCCCTGGACACGCACACTATGGGAATGCGCCATGCAAGAAATGTACACTCAGTGGGAGCCCTAACTTACAGAGGATGATATCATATCATAAGTTGTTGCTGGGCCATATTGTGTTGCCGGGTCTCGCCTTTTTTTTAGTGCAAATGCCACGCCTCGCCAAGCCAAGCCAGACCACAACAAGCCAAGCCAAGTCAAGCAAAAGCCAAGCCAAGCCAACAAGCAAGTCAAGCAAAGTCTCATGGCAACCTGCAGTGTTGGGTGGGAAATGTAATGACCGCCTGGTGCCGAATCTTGCCAGGTTTCGAGCTGCGGAGCACGCGCCCATCCACACCATGCTTGCGATTGCCCGCGCCCAACCGGCGGACGCTTTCCACTGGGTTTCAGGACGAGCCAGGGTTCAACTTCCCAAGCTCTTCGGAAAATACGGGCTGCACCCAAAGCCCCGAAAGATGACCCGCATGCAAAGGCAGGCTGACATTCCAAACAGAGACTCCCAACGGGTATCAAGCCTGGGTGTCATTGGGCCGCTGAACATTGCCATGAATTCAGCAGGACGCTCACGGTGCAGTCCTTGTGCTTCGCTTCGCATTTTCTGCCAGTTCGGGCTGATACCTCTTTGTCCGGCCGCTCCATTGATGATAGCTCGCTGGTGCTTTGGGGTCTTTTTCTGGGAACGTTTTGCGACCCGGATTTTCCTTTAAAAAAAGCTCAGGAGATAGCCCAACAGCACCACACCCTCCCAGAATCCTCACGGAACCCGTCCACCCCGGAACCTTCGCGGAGCTTTTGCAAAACCCTGAGCCCTTGCGGAACCTTACCTCGGAGCCGCCCCAGACAGAGACCCCATCGTTTTCAGCTGTTGGGGGCAAGCAGCCCAAGCCTCGCCAACCAGTTAAGGGGACATTTGGGCAGATGGCAAAACACAGGGGCCTGAAACGCTTTGTTTTCTTTCCTCTCTTTGAGTCAGCCGCGCCATCGGTCTCCGGTCGGGCCCAATTGCACCGTCGGGCCCCGATTGCACGTGAGGTGGCTTGGATCGGCGCCCGATTGCACCGTCAAGCCTCGGCCGGGCCCCGTGTACCAAGCTAGCATCGCCCAGCTACAAGGCGGAATCCTGCGCAAAGCCGGCGGTAAGCTATGGGTGGCTGGAGTTGGTGCGGGCCGCTTGCGTCACAAGGCCCTGCAGGCGCCCGCTTGCACCTCGGGCTGACCGGGTTCCGATTGCACCGTCAAGCCTCCGTCGGCCCCGTGCCTGTACTACGCTCACGTTGCCCAGCTTGTTGCTTCATACAGTTGTGAGGC